ATACAACTGAATACCGGTTTTGATTATTCGGAAAATCGTTTTCATAGATGATTCATTAATAAAGATAAGTTTCTATACCTACAAAGCATTACATATATTGTTGTCTGGAACAAGTTCGTTTCTTGTAGATTGCCACATGATGTCCGCTAAACCAGTAAAACGAATCCGTAACTGATGAATTAAGTATCGCATTATGATTGGAATTTGTCGAGCAAGCTAATTAATTATTTTATGTAGTTTTATAAACCTTTAATTTAATTTTACATACTTACAGACAGTCAAAACTTCAAAGAGTATTCAGTTTTAGCAGTCTCAACGATGTATCCAACCATGATAAACATCAGTTGATACTATTCACCTTCATTTGCAGTAACCACAAAATAAGTCGAATGAGAATACCGCATAATATTTCAGATAAAATCTAAAAAGATATGCTTGGAATTATAATTTAATTGAATTATCATTGGCTTTCCTTTAAAAATTATTCCCATATGTATTCAATAAAAATGTTGATCTAATATCTACAATAGATTTAGAAGTAAATTGTCTGTATATTTAATATAATTTTAATATTTATTAATTTAAACTATTATGTACCTATTACAATATGACCTATGGATGTCTATCAATTTTATTGAGTAAAACTTTATATTTTGTTGGCTCCACAACTAATCGTCATCGTTTTACTTCGAAATACAATAAAAAGATCAGCTATATTATTCCAACATTTTATAATTCACTAAAACTAAATTCTAATTTTCTAAAATCTAAATCACTAAAATTTATATGAAAATGTTGGCGATAATCTTTTAAAATAATAATCAATTCCAGTGAAATATATCAAGTTGATTTTTTGTTTCGCAAGCTTCAATTAAGGTTAAAACAAGCGCTCTTTTAAAAAAACTCAGTTGGAATACTTCATGGATCAAGAAATTGGTTAATTAGATTAAGTAAAACAATCAGATATACATACTTCATATAATACTTCAAATAATTTACATTTAAACGCAATATTCTATACATTTCACGGTCAAGTTAAATGCATTGTTTAAAGCTAGTGAAAGGTTTAAAGTGGACTTCGTGTACACACTTAACTAGACAAATCTTAATAAACATTAATATTCATAAACGAATTAAAAAAAATGTTTTTCCTGACTATTTTTCATTTTTAATATTTATGCAATAGTGTAAAATTAAATATATATATAGTATTTGTCAGTTTATGCTAATACAAATAATAAAGTATTTAGAGCTATTTGTAATGAATTAGTACCATTCAAAGTATAAATATACTTAAAATATGGTGAAATTAAGCCTAAAAAATGTATTTATTTCATGCTAATCATAAAATAAGTATTAAATTAAAACATTCTACAAAATTAAAATTTAAGAGTTGTTTTTGGTTATTTTTGTTGATTTAGCATAGAAAATAAAATAAAAAAACTTTAGAAGAGTCTACCATAGTGTAAAAAAATTTGTTTACATGTAATTATAAATTGACCTAGTGATAGTACCGATATTAAAATACTAAAACCTACATATAGTTATAAAAACTAAATTATATTAAGCATACTCTATAATATGTAAATATGTACATAATAATTAAATATACGTTTATTTTAATTACTATACCTTCTGTTGTAGAATAAAATAAGACTATATTTTACATTTAATTTAAGTTATTTCAACCTCTGAATCAAATTTTTACTGATTATAATAAACAAAAACTATTAATTAAGTTAAGTCGTATGGTTAACATTTTAATTGTTAATCCTGAGTCCTAAAAAAACATAAGTAATAATACAAAAAACCATTCTATATTCTATATTTCAGAAACAATACTAAAAAATGTTATTATGTAATTTCATATAACGGAAATATTAGTAAAGATCTCATAAAAAAATACAGCATTATTTTTTCTTTAAAGAATATAGTTAATTTTTCAGTACTCACAACCTGACGGTTTATGTTATGGATATTGTATGAAGTTTTTTTTTAGTTATATTAGAAAAAAAATAATAGTTAATCTTTTACACAAAAATGATCTTCCATTTTTTTACAATAGTTCATAAGTAATGGTTAACAATGTAATAAGTTAAACCTCATTAAATTAATGTTCGCACGCCTCTCCCTATATAAAATTAAGTTGTATTTATGGTGACTTTAACGGTCGATTACTAAATCTAGTATATATGACTGCGTATAAACTAATTATCGACCAATAAATTGAAGATGTTCGTATTAATAATGAAAAATAAAAATTCAAGGTAGGTTTATAATTTTTAAAATCTAATTATAACTAAATATAGACTTACATGGTGTAAAAATGCCATTCTCGTAATTTTTAGGTCAACATTTTATTAAAAGATTAACTATTTACCTCTTATTATCGAACAATAATTGATCTTATGTAGGTTTCTACATACAAGCATGGTAAACTATTGAAATTTTCTAATAAAAATCGCAAGTAAAAAAAAAAAATTGTTATATTAGCACATACTCATCCTATATATTTTATAACAAGGATAAAATTAAAAATTGTAATAATTTAAAAAAGTATAATTTTGTTATAATTTTAAACTGTTAATAACAGAATATAATCAAAAACGTTAATATTAATGGATTCAAGAAGTCAAAAGGTTGTAGATTAAAATTAACCTATCATTAAATTATTTTAAACTACTTGATCATTTAGCCGCATATATTTTCGCTATTTTTTTTTTTTACAAACCTCTATATTTATCAAAGTAAACGAATAATAAAATAGATATATAATATTTTGTAACTTATATAACTAATATAGTTAATAATTTATACTTCATACTTTACACAAAGATATAATTTTTACTACACTTAATATAACCTTAGCTTATAAACTATAAATTGTATTATTATTAATGCATATTTATGATATATGTATACATTTTGTACGAAAAGAAATCTTAGTATGGTTTTTGGTACTAGTAGAAAATTTAAAAATGTATGTCAAATAAGAATACTTTGAATTATATAATAAAATTAGGACGATTTAATATAAATTTTGATTTATATATCTAAAATCTTAGGTATAATTTGCAAGGTAACTAAAATTCAAACGATTGATTATTGTAAGGTATATTGGAAATATTTTGTTACACTTAAATATTTTTAATAATTTCCTTAGAACGTAAGTGGAAATAGAAGGTTTATAATTATTGACCATGATAACTATATTTCTACTCTACTAAATAATCCTATGATAAAGTTACACAAATTTGGGAACCTCCTAGGTGGCTCAAACTAAATTCATAAATGCATAGAATTCCTAACCCTAGTAATTAGTTAGTAGTACATTCATACTACTAATATACAATGAATAATAAAACAAATATTTTTATTATAAAATGGTACAGAAATAAAGTTTGAGATACAAAAACAAATTTAAAATTTAAATTTTTCTAAAAAATAAATTGTAAAATTTATCAAAAAAATTAATATTGAATTGCTTTTCTTAATATTATATCAACAGAATAAAACTGTTAATCAATAAATAACATAAATAATTTTAACTTCCAAAAAACAATTAATTAAAAATTGAATAAACTTCTAAAATATTATTTGGGTAGATTAGTCTACCAAGACACTGAAAAATTTTCTGGTTGACCGCGAGTCTAATATCCCTGTTTCTAAAAACTATTTAAAGAATAACAAATATGAATTAAATAATTTTTTTGTTTTTACCCTAGTATTGTGAGGTTAATAAAAAATTGATTTGTTAAAATTGTATTTTCTGATATAAATTTTAAAGCTAGTCCAACTCTGTTCTAATATTTTTTTAAGAACATATTGGTATCGATTTGCGTTAGATTTAAAAATACTTAAACAACCCTTCTACTACTTATAAATTCAAAATAATCTGTTTCAACTTAATAATTTAAAAATACTAAGCAAACGATAAATATATTTATGGATTAAAACGAAGTCACTGTATTTAATAAATTATTAATCAAAGTGTTTAAAAATTATCATCAATTACTTCAAAATTGTATTTTTAAATATATTAAAAATCAACTATTTTGTGTTAAGATCTTTTTATTAAAGTCGATATATGATAATTCTGAAATACTTTAATTCAGACTTGATATGCACAAGCACCCCCAAAATTCATACAAGTATATATATTTAACCAAAAATGTTGCTTTTAGAAAGATTTTGTAAAAAAAATAGGTCATAAATAAAATATTTATTATAAATTTATGAAATAATTGTCTTTAGCCCCCCCCCCTTATAACTTATTTTAGCTTTGATCCAAAATGTATTTAATATTTAGTTTGGCTTTTATGATTGTTATTTCCTACATTTCATTCAAAATTAATTTAATTTTAAACATTTCTAATACTCAAAAAGAAATTTTCAGGTATTTCTTAAGACCCATTTTCTAATAACTTTTTACATTCTGAGGTTTCGATTAGTATTTAACTTATTTTAGAACACTAGTAAATTTTTATAGGCATTTGTAAATTCATTAAAACTCCAAATATATACTAGATAAAATTTCAGATACCAAATACTCTCCTTGCCCTAAAAAATTTGTACATCTATAATTTATACTTATGGCCAAGGCGGTTATAGTATCAAACAATAATGAACTGGACATTAACCGCTCGGTGCAATAGCAATGACCACTTAAAAGTGGAGGAGGATAGATCGCCGGTCATCTTCATCCGTCATATGATTACGCAACTCGGTCGCGCAGCCCACGCTCGGGTTATGTTTTTTTAAAGGTCACCGGGTCCTCCTGTTATTTCTTTGATTCCTCCTCCTTCTCTTACCACAATAGCTTTAGTTTTTTTATCGCCACTGTTATATATTTTACCAAAAAACTCGACAAAAAACGAAGGGAGAGAGAAAGAGCACAATACAGATTTGAAGGGGAATCATCTATATTTTATCATCTCCTTATCCCCTTTTTATTCAGGGCATACCAGAAATTGCATTCCAGATTGAATGTATAATCGGCGAATTTAAGAGGGGGACATTAGTATTTAATAGTTTATGCAATGCCATACTGACAAATTATATGTATCTCGGTTCTGTTCGTCAATAGTTCAGTTTCCATCCGACAACGCAACTGCAAATACAAACCATCAACATGTCTTCTGTAAGTCCAAGCTTAAAAAAAATATTTTCTAACATAAATCACAGTGTTCTTGAGTCTAAAAGGATTACTTAATATTAGCTAAAAATAGACTAAGTGATAAAAGTTTTCAATTTAAATAAGCAATCTGATTTATTTTAAATAAAAAAAAACAGTTTATAATTTTTTATAAGTGTTATAGTGGTGCAAATAAATAATTCTAAAAGACTCAAGAGAAATTATATTTGTTCAGTATCTTTACTAAAATAAAGTAATATATTCACTTAGGAAATATTATTTGATAAAAATAACCTCTACTTATTTCAATAACATTTAGTCCAAAATAGTTAAAATATTTATATGCATTAATTAAACACGCGCTTTAAAGAAACTGTTTTGAAAATCATCAATCGAAAAGTTTTGATGCGCAAAATATACACCTTAAAACAAGTTTCATAAGATGCGTTCTTTAGTGTACATTATTATATTGTACTTGTAACTTAAATTACAATTTTAACATAGTTGTATATTTACGTTATATTTTACACAAACATTTTAGAAACGAAATGAAATAAATTATTGCAAGAATCTTAATTTTCATAATTTCTATATATTTATTTCTGTTCATAAAATATTCCATTGACGGTTTTTTTTGATAAGCTAAATATTTTTATATATTTTAATTGAACTATAACGTTTGTAAGGGTTGATTTACTACCTTCCGAGTTCTAGAGCCAATAAATTAATAAAAAAAAATTTTAAAACATTTGATAATTTTTAGAAATATTTGTATCCAAGATTCAATTATACCTATATAGTTTGAACAATAATTTCGTCTTATTATTGAGCTTTCGAAACAAACCAAAAAAATATTTTAACACAGATATTCAAATATGAATTCACAGAACTATTTATTTTATTATTACAGACTGCTTTGTTAGTATTGACTTTAGCCTGCGCAGTGTTTGGTGCACCCCAAGGTCCAGGTTATTATCCACCCACTGGCCCAGTCACCACCCCAATCCCAATCATTAGCCAAACCCAACAAGTCAACCCAGATGGATCATACCAATACAGGTAAATTGTTATAATATTGATTTAATTTAACAATTTTATTATGGGAAAATGCTTACGGTTATCTCTTTTATTTAACATAAAATATAGTACAACATCTAATTATAAATCTTGATAAATATTTAATCTTAATTGAATGAAAACTTGTGTTTAAAATAGTTATCAAACTGGCAACGGTATTGCTGTTGCTGAAAACGGATACTTGAAGAACCCAGGTACCGAACAAGAAGGTCAAGTAGCTCAAGGATACTTCATATACCCTGGCCCAGATGGTATAATATACGAAGTTAAATACTACGCTGATGCCGAAAACGGTTTCGTTGCCCAGGGTGCCCATTTGCCAACCCCACCCCCCCTTCCAGAAGCATTAGTCCAAGCTAACGAATTGGCTTACAAGAATGCCGCCGCCGACGCAGGACTTTATGACGAAAAAGGATTCCTTATAAATAAACCAGCCAGACAATTCAAAAAATAACACCTCAAAAACATATGTATAAACAGTAATAGTACCTAAACTCCATGTGAAAAATCTTTAAGCAAAATACTTTCGTTCTCCTTTACCTATTTCGTGAGGTTGTTGTCGATAAATATTGATGACAGCACACATTTTATGTCATTCTATATGCTTTTAAAAACGACTCATTTACCATTGTAATTATTTTTAAAGAGCGTTTTCTCAATGGACAAACGATCTCATCCTGAACATTCTCAAAAACAATAGTTCTATGTCTCAGTAAGGGGCACGTTTGTCTGTTTGGTAACAACGTCCATTGACTTAGTTTTTTTTTTTTGTCGTTGTACCTATATCCCTAAGTTGTAAGTTTGTGAAATAATAAAAAAAATTGTTTGTAAAACGACTGCATTAATTTTTATTAAATACGTAAATTCCACACCAGTATAATATCTATTTCATAATAATAATTTAGTTAACAATGATTTGTCTTCGAAAACAGAGACAATGTTTTATTTCTGATCTCGTAGGTATGAAATATTCCAACATAAAAGAAACCTGAAAAACCAGGCGATATTTAAAAATGTATAATTTAACCAAGAATAAATAATTTTGGACCACCTGCCGAATTAATAGAAGCGGCATGGCATATTGTCAACCATAAAATATGAACAGGTTATCGGTGTTTTACTGATTATTTTTGGAAAGGTGACAAGCGTATTCGGTTATGCATTTAATTGACGTAAGATTATGTCATAATAAATCGCAAAAAATAACCTTAGAGCTTGTGAAAGCTAATATGTTTTACATAATAGAATCATCTGCCCGACAATTTCGGCTATGTATTCATTTATTAAAATTTACTAAAACCTGAATGTAGAATATGGTATTTATTTGATATGCAATAACAACATTAGCGTGCAACTATTACACAGCATCAATAGACAAGATATAACTCCTTTGCGCTCAAAATTTAAAATTATAAATAGGTTAACCAATTCGATTTCATCATAAAATAACATTAAAATACATGGTTGAACAAGGGGTTAAGGTTAATAAGTGGTTTTATCAAAAAAAATTAGTCATTAAACCTTATTTAATTTCAATAAACCTTAAGTCTGGCCCATACATGATTAATTTATTATAATTTTGTGATGTTCAATTTACCTATTACATTACATATAATCTTCAAGGATGTTAAGAAAATTTAATATTTATACGAAATTTATTATTTAAGGTATATCTACTCACGTATAATGATAAATGTACATTTTTGTGACATAATATGATAATTATTACAATTAAAAAAAAAAATTCCATGAATATTTATTTTGCACTATCAGTAGCCTATGATAGTGCAATATTACCTAAAGCAAATAAAAATACTGAGAATTTTACTCACTTTATATCACTATATATATATATATTAGGGTGGTCCTTAGCTATAGGACATGAATTTTTTTTGGAAATTTATAGCCAGGACCCCCCATTTTGTTTGGTTGACTTATAAAAGTGTGTGCATAAAATTTGAGTTTGCTAGACCTACCTTTTCTCGTTCGTCAAAGAGGTTGAATTTAGGCGGTTGAGAGCTGAAAAATAGTTTTTTTAACATAACTCATTCAATTTTATATTTATGAAAAAAATTTACTTAACTAATTTTGTTGATCGCATTATTCACTAAAATAAAGTATTTATAATATTTTCTGTAATGTTTTTATTTTCTTGTATAATATTTAAATAGTTAAAAATCGCCAAGTATCATATTTCACAGATTTTCACAAAATATTCAGTTTTTTTAATATAACTCGTTAAATTTAGTATTTATTCAAAAATGTTTTTTTGTTATTTTTTGTAAGACATATCATTTACAATAAAAAGGCATTAATAAGATTTTTTATAATATTTAATGTTTTGCCTGTAATTGAATCGATAAATTTTAAAAGAGAACTTCTAAACATTTTCCAAAAGTAATGCTTAAATATGACTAAATTTCAAAATAGAACTAAAATATTGTAAATTGTTAGAAGGTAATAAAAATAAATTCTAACATTTTAGGATGTTACAAACACTAAATAGCTTCTCATCTACACATCAAAGCTAAAAACTGAATAAAAAATATAAAAAATTATAAACGCTCAAATTCATTTATTTTAAAAAATTCAAATTTTAAAAAACTTAATTGCAGTATAAAAAAATATAATAATAATAATAAATTTATTGATTTATAAAGACAGGTTTTTCATAGCTTCGTGATTAATCCCTGGGTATTATTGACGGTAGTTATGAATGATCTAAAAATTGAAAATTATTCAGTTTATATTAAATAATAATTTATATTAAATAGTGATGATGCTGTAGAATCGGAAAATATAAATATTTACAGTATAGTCACTGATATAATATAAGGTTATATATTACCTTTAATAAGTAGTGAACTAGTGAACTTATCATTATACTCTTTTATCAATTTTACATGTCTATCGGCAACATCATTTACTATTTTTAGTGAAGATAAAAGTTCAAAATTAATTCAGTAAATTTTTTTCATACTGTCTACTGAAACTTACATGGTGCATATTAAAAGAGGCAGTCCTGTGTTGATTGAAAAAGGCAGTAAACTCCCCTAGATAATTTTAAAAATTGTCTCCAAATTTTTTATTGAAAGACTATATGTTTGATTTTCAATAAAACAGAAAATTTCCAACTCCAACAATAAATAAAATCTCAATCATCGCAATTACTACTTTATATTAACGCAGTGTGGTTCATATTTTGTATAATATACAATTTTGGCAAGCATAACATAAGCATAGGGTGGTAAATATTTTTGTGGTGTCTAAATTAAATTTTTTTCCCTCAAAAAATAATTTCTATATATCAATGTATCTATAAAGAATGTTTTTTCATCTACGCAATTTTAATTCTAACTTAATTAACGTGAAAGCTTCGTCGTTGCATCCCCCGGACAGTAATCATCACTCTTCATTGCTTTTTTAGGGTTTTTACAAACTATACTTCGATTAATTAATTAAGCTATCCAATAAAACCTAACAAATTTTTAAAAAATGTCGTTAGCGTTTTTGACATCAGACAACTTTTATGACCAGGGGAGAATTATGTAACCGGAAGCATAAAAACAAAATCACGTCAACTATACGCCAACCGTGTACAAGCATTATTCGCAGTCGGACATATCATAGTAACTAAATAAATAAATATTTTAACACCCCAAAGGGTAAGAGTTGTAGATTGATATTTAGCAAAAATAACTATCATGAAGTGATAAAACATTTTTTTCATTCTTCTTCCACACGTATCCTGAATGACTGTCGTACCTACAGCAATTTATTATAATTCGAATTTAACAATTGCATTTGAAAAGGCCATTTTACACAAATAATTTCACATGTGACTTAGAGCATTTGTATAACTAACCAAAATATTATAAAATTATTTTATAAAGGAAATGACTAGTTTATAACAACTTTTAAACAAATTATTAAAAGTTATCGTTATTATTGAATATAGACTGGCGATGAGACGCGTGTTATAACTAATTTAATCATTAGGTACTACTCAACAATGTTTTCTTCTAATCTAGGAATATAAATATTAATATTTCATAAATACTGGTTCAAAAATGGTAATCAACCTATCATTTTCAAGTTTATTAATTGCTTCAATATTTATTATGCTATTTGAAAAATTGAAGTTGAAATTAGAGACGTTTTACGTAATAAATTTATGTAAAAACCGAATTAAAAAAAAATTCTTATAAATCAATATTGGATAAAGCCTAAGTATCAACTTAATTATTATTTAATGAGAAATATAGTAACTAATGTTATAAAAATCACTGTGTATACTTAGTTTTATTCTAATATTTAATAAAATTATTAATCTATAAAAACCTGATGGTTATTATTTAAACAACTGTATACAAGTATTAATTTAAAATGATAAATTATTTTTTAGAAAGTTCATAATATAAACATACAAAGTTCAAATACACTTTATTAATTACATTAAAAATTAAGATATTAATTAAATATGCTTTATTTAATTTTGAAGTTAATAACATGTTATAAAATTTATTTGGGCAAGAGTTTCAAGGGAGTATAACTTAAATAAAACTTAATATAAGAAATAAGAACTTAAAAAATTTAAATATTGAATAAATTATAGCTTTCTTCATAAAGAAAAAGTAGTCAAATAAAAGAGACAATCATTTTATAAAACTTGAATAATTTAAGTTTCATTGAAAGATTGTGTCATTTTTGAGAAAAACACTCTGTCAATTTCGAGTTTAATTTCTTTTTTTAATGAAATAGGCTGTATATATTTAAGCCTTTCAGTAACATATTGCCCATACATAAAATCTTGATCTGATACTCTTGAAGTCTTATAACATTGAGTATATGTGGATTTTATTAAAGGTTCACATACTGTTGCAATTCTTTTATCCTCTAAAATAGCTTGAGAATGTTCAAGTTTCCTTTTTTTAACATTCAAATTGTATTCTAAATTCTCATAATACTCCTAAACATGATAAAAAATTATAAATAACATATAAAATATTAAAAAAGTACATTTCAGTTAAACTAATATAGATTCAAATCTAATAAAGATTATAAATCACATAAATTAATACACATAAAGTTAGACTACTCGCAATTAACACAGTTGTTGAAAATCTCTGAATGAATTGATACTATTATTTTGTAGCTAACTACTCAATTAGAGAATTTTAATTAATTTCATGACCAACCTATTTTTTTTTTTTTTGAGTATTTAAAATGATCATATTATTTTATATATGCTTTTATTAAAAACTAAAAGATTAAGGAAATTCGATGTTTATTTTATAAACCAAGTAGTATTTATAGTTGATAATAATTCTATAATACTAATTGGACTAAGGGAAATTTTTTTCATATATCACTCATAAGTTTACTATAATTTGTGGTATACATACCATAGATCGAGAAATATTCCCATAAACTATAACGAAATAAAACAAAGTTATGGCAATAAACTTTATTTTTCCCTTCATAAAAATATTTTTATACAGGTTATAATAATAAAACTCAATTTTTATAATCATAGAATTTTACTCTTATAAATGAAGGGTGTATTTATTTTAGTTTGCCCTAAAAGTAATGTATTCAATAATTTTCCATGTAGCATCTACAAAATATATATTTTTAATTATTTAAAGCTTTTAAAATGTTAATATATATTAACATTTTATAAATATATTATATTTACATATATATATAATGTAGACAGAGGTTGAGATTATATATAATGAGCTCCTCCAAAATATTTCAACATTTTTTAGTGTATTTAAATTAATATTTTTTATAATTACTTTATACTTTATTTGTTACAATAATTTAATTTGTATAAAATAGTTTAGATAAAGAGTAATAACTTAATTACCATATTAAATCTGTCAGTATTCGTGGAAGCATTTGTTACTTTATTATGCTTATCAGATAATTCATTTTGTTGTGTACTATCATCTAGTTCTATATCCTAAAACAAATAGATAATAGAACATAAATTTTCAATTATTTATTGATTCATTCTCATGTCTACTAGTACTGTACCCAAAACATCAGGCTAAAGCACGGATTAGAAAGACAGCCATATCCTCTCTAAAATTATTTAAATTGTTTTTAATTTAATATATAATATAAAAATATGAGGGGTGACATTATATTAACTGTTGTTTTTTATACAAGCTAAATTGCTCATGAAAGAAGACTTTTCCTTAACTTTTTTTATTTTATTATATAAAGTATCTTCTAATAACTAAAGAACAAAACCACTTTAAGTAACACATTTTCTAAAAAATATATCTGTAAAATCTTATTATCATAACAATTTTTTGGAGTAAGGAAAAAAATTAAATGAGACTAAAAATTATTTTTAATTGTTAGACTGAGAATAAAATAAAAAATAATTAAAATAGTGAATAACCATTCATTAATAAATTATGAATAATTTTATAAATTCATGAGATATATTGTGTTAAATAAAATTTGATAAATAAATAAGTTTGTTCTCTTAAAAACAGCTTATTAAACTTTAAATAAAAAAAAAATTATTTAAACATTTGACCCAAGAAGCTATAAAAATATTCTACTAAAAACACTACATACACTTTTTTTGAAAACAATGTATTCATTATCAGAACAAACACAAATATTTTCACAAAAAAATTTATAGAAAATTTAACAAACATTGAAATATCCATTTTTTTATCTTAATATATGTTAACAAAAATATATCTGTTGATATAAAATTATCTGAATTATCAAAAAAAATAAAAAAAACGAAAAAATTTATTTTTAGAATTCAAAAGCTTAAAACTTCTTTTCTCAATTTTATAGCTCTTGAGTCTGAACTTTAATATAACATTTTAAAATCACATACATGAGAGTAATTAAAGGGGATATTAAAATCTACTTCAAAACAAAAGTAATTGCACTTCACATTTGTTTTGTTAGAATGAAAAAATTAATAATTTTTTTTTATAAATTCTAGGAAGAATACATTAGCTACTCTCTTATGATATTATTGAGTTCCACATTCATTAAAGAAGAAAAAGATAATATATTTTATTAGGGTGTCCCATCAATAAAAATAAATAAAATTTTTTATAAATATCTTATAAATTATGCCTCTTTCCAATTATTTGTGGGTACACTACTGTAGTCTATACAAACTTAAATTAAAACACCATATGCTCACATGCATATTAGATGTCAAATCATTAATGGTGTTATGAGTAGAGCAATTATTTTCTTCAGATATACTTTTAAGCCTTAGTTTTTCGATGTAATCAATAATTCCAATACATTTTTTACTTCCATTGCAAATATTGATGAGTAGATCTAAAAAAAGATTTTTTAATGCACAGTAACAAAAAAATTAAAGTTATTACTTTTAATGCTATTTAAATCAATCATTTTTTCTCCATCTGATATAGTTGATTTATGATCAAAAATATTTGAAAAAAATATTTGATAAATTAAGGTATCTTTTGATGGCCTTAATGATTCTATAAATTCTAATAGAACTCTATGTTCAGCTGAATGATTGTGATTCTCAATTTGATTTTTATAATATGTACAACATAAGGAACAATATGAAAATAATGATTTTTTTTCTGGATCAATTTTTTCTTTTTTTTCACAATCCAATGAATCACTATTAGAAATCGATTGATCTAAAAATCATTGAACATGCTTAATAATTAATAAATATCTAGAAAAAAAAAAATTAGAAGTGTAATGAAAAGCTGTGTAAATACTAAAGTATTTAGTAATAAAAATATAAAATATTTACACTTTAATTTAAATTTATAATAGTTGAAGTAGTAAGTTATAATTAACATCATAAAAAAATTATTTGATTGAAGGTAGTCATTATTGGTAGTTAAATTAATAAAGGTGTTTACTGAAATGTTTATCACTTTTAAGAAGAGCAATAAATGATTTAAATGCATTCATATTAAGAGAGCATCATAAGAGAACAATAATCATTCAATTTTTAAACAATGAAGCAAATATATTGCAACAATAATAACAATGTTATAAACTCCAAAAATCAATATTTAATACCACATTCATTCATTTTAACAATTATATTTAAAAATTATTAAATTTTTTTTTTCTTTTAACTATAAGCAATAAATTGTTATATTATAAATATTATTTATAAAAATTAAATAAATATTTAATTTTTGTTTCAAAATAGCAATATAATTACAGATCTATATAATTAGATTTAATAATATTTTTACAGAGATTATTTTATTTGATTACCATTCAAAAAATCTTAAATAAGTCATGTTTTAAATTTTGTCGGGGGAAAAAAATGAAATTGACATCCTTATAAGGTATAAGAGATGAATTTAAAAAATAATTATTAACTGATAGATTGAGAAGTATAAAAACTCAAAATTACCAAAAATAATTTATTTAATTTAATTTTAATTTTAAGAGAAATCAAGTGGCTAGCGTTAAAATAACCACTCTGTATAGAAAAATGAAATGAGCATACAATTATTTATAACTTTTCATAAATCTCCAATCAAAATATTTACTTTCTCTTAACAGTTCATCTGTGTCGGATATCAATTCAATAGATTCATTTAAGGTGTTATTGGTGATATCTAATTCATTATTTTTTAAGACAATTGACTGATTTTCGATCATTAAGTTTTTTGGTGTCATATACTTTAATATAATGTGTTCAACCGTAATTTCGTGTAAATTATAAATTATTTCAGATGAAAAAAAACTCATTTTACAAGCATGACAATACAAAGGAACACATTCAGGTTTAAGATCACAGTAGTCTGTCATTTCATTATTACACTCATTTCTATTTTTGAACAATTTTGACATATATTCAGTTAACTCAGGAAAAGCAAGAGATAAGTTTTGTTCGTGTTCAGTTTGAAAATGAACTTCAATATGAAGTTTTTTCCCATAAATGAAAGAGTTACATGTAAAACAAAAGTGAGAATATAAATCTTCAGCTGTGCAGCAATTAGTTAAGTGTTGTAGTGTAACAGCATGACTTTTAAAATTATTGAAATTATTGGTATTAAAAGTACAAATTTCACAAATAAATTGTTTAATAGGGGTTTTGTTAAAACCAGATAAATCAAACTTGTATTCACATATGTTTATGTGACTCATGATTTTTTTAGTTTCCATAGTAACTGGTTGCTTACATAAATTACAATAAGCTAATGATTGAGTTTCAAAATTAAATCGTTTTAAAACTATTTTTGGAAGTTTTAGTTCATTAAGCCATTTGTTATATTCTAAGTCACTACATAAAGCATTTTGAATGTTACATTTTAGATACTCATTATTTTCTATTAATTCAATATCTGAATTAGATTCATTTTTAGTCCTTTTAGTTGCATAATAATAACATTTTAGTTGCATATGTTCAACACTTACTGAATGGATATCTAAAGCTTCAGGACAGCATATAAATTTAATTTTACAATAATTACAGTAATATTGTAACACTCTTTTTATAGATGATGGTAAATTATTAGATGAATGTATAGAATTATAATCATACTTTTTACAGTGACTGCAATAATGTAAGGGCTTATCTTCTATTGGAAAATTATTTTTTATATTTTCAGACATTAACATTGATACATAATTAATAGAACTACAATTATTATGGGTTTCAAAAATATGTTTCTTGATATTGTTCATATCACCATAAATAAGCTTACGACATTTAGCATTAGGACAAGGATGAGAATAGAGGTCTTCAAAATTTTGACATTTTGAAACATGTGAAACTGACATGATATGGACTTTCCATACATTAAACTCTTTAGTATATAAAGAGCATATAGTGCATTCAAATGAATTTATCTTCTTAAACTGATTATCAATTGTAGAGTCCCACAAAGTGATAGAATCCAATAAAGTTGATGAAAAATTACCACATTTATGAATTTCAATTATTTTATCAAATAAAATAGGGTAGTTTAACTGTTTTTCTAAACTGATACTTTTTTTTGTTGTAGATTGATTCATTATCGATGAAAAAGTTACAAAAACCTAAAAAATGAGTTCAAAGTGAATTTATTGTTAATTAATTTTATATATTTATTGACATCTTTACACTAAACTCCCTAATCCATAATTAGAGAATATCCCCATAAAATAAAAATTACTGAAGATTATTAAGTTTATCTCAAAGGCTTATTCTTTTATGTATAGTATAATATAGCACTATAAGTAAGTAATTCTATTTGATTAATATACATTTTCATTACAACTAAATTTATGTATATAGAGTCTCTATTATAATTTATTTTATTCATTACCCTTAGATGACACAGCCTCAACTCAACTAATTAATCTATTTATAATTTTAAAATGCTAGATTATAATTTATAATATATATTTTAAATAAATGTAACGTAATCATTACACATTGTATTTATTTAAAAAATATATATATTTATTATAATAAAAAGTAATTTCTAAAAATAGAAAAATTATTGCAAATTTTGTAAACTAATTTTTTTAAAGTAGATACCAATTACTTCACAAGGTTGGGTATATCATGTAAGCTTATATATTGAATTTTTATTTAAAAAAATTAACCATTATCATAATATTAATAAATTTAAGTGAATTAAATTTTGAAATATTATAGTGTTACGGATACAGGTATATAAATATAATATTAATCACAGATTGGAATTTTGACAAACTAGTTATTCAAAGTAGTTTTAGTGAATCACATATAATGTGACATACAGTAGTATCATTATTTTAAAATAGAGTGAAATTTAATTGATAGAACTTTTAGTATTAGTTATACACAATTCACATAATTCAACTTACGTTAATACGTATAATATAATAACTTGTAAACAAATAAAAACTTTTTAGATCTTCCAACACATTATAGTGACAAATAACTTTAAAAATAAATTTATTGATGCACAGTATGGTTTTCCTTGACGCATTCACACAAAAGCAACGCACGTTAACGAACTATTTCAATCTTATTCATCTTAACTTATTTAGAGTTATTTAAATTACGATTTACAATTGAATGATTTAGCAGCTACGCCAACGCTATGGAAAATTCAATATTTCTACTGGCGATGGGCATAATCGAATGATTTCGATAATCGAATTATTAGTAATCGAGAGAATCTCGAAAATTTACTCAAAATTAAAACCGTTCATTAGTTTGATAAAAATAATCGATTATTTTTACTGCTTTGGTGTGTGTTCCGATTACATTAAATACATTTATAAGTTATAACTTATAACCAAATTATTCAATTAGGTATAAATAAAGACTTTTTCTAGTTACTTATAAGTATCTGTCTCTACGTTTTAGTGACTAAGTACCAACGTTATCGCCATAATAATTTTCTGAGAAAAAACGTTTTTGGTATTTTTATTAGAATTAATACTTAAAAATGATATAAATAATTATTTTAATACACTTTTTTTTTACATTTTTACAATTTTTGATGTAGAATGTAAACATAAAGTATATCTCCATCAAAATCCAGTCCTGGGTATTTTTAAAATTTTTTTCTAATTTAACGAATGAAAATCATTTGATAATTTATCTACTGACAGTGCCGTGCTAACAGTCACTTGCTTCCTTATTTTACATTGGTAGAAATTTAATACTTTTTCCATGAAAGATTTTAAATATATTAAACATTATATCAAAGCTGCTCGCTGTATATGCTTTACAAAACTTCCTAATATCAAAGATATACAGTGATTCAATAAGGCTAAGACACTTATTTTTTTAGGAATTATTAAAAAATTTTAATTTTCGCAAAGGAAAATATTGTTTGATTCAAAATACTCTACAATAATATGTAGTTAAATTATTTATATTTCATATATTCAGGGAAAAAAAACTTGCATTTTAATTTTCATTGATGTAAACCCCTATTTTTAGATTAACGATATGATAGATAAAAATATTTTTAAAAAATGCTGTTCTTATAATTTTTTTTATTCGAAGTATAACTATTATTCTATTATTGCTACTTTAAGTTTAGTGATTTTTGAGCAAATTACTATTGATATAATAAAAATTGATCACTTGTGGCTAATTAATTAAGTAAAATTAAAACTATATTAAAAATATTATTAATTTAAAAAAAAAACTAAAAAATATTAAAAATATTTTTTAGTTTTTTTTAAATTAATAATATTTTTAATATAGTTTTAATTTTAATTACTATTGATAATTTGATTTATAGCATACAGTAGTTGTCAAATGTCACAGAAAGAATTCGATATTATCCACTAAACAGAAACTATGAATAAATGGTTTACAAAACAATTCATCAGAGTCAAAATTATGCTTTTCTAAACCAATTTTTGCACCGATTTAATACTTTAATTGTACCATCTATTTAAACACCAAAAGTTGTATAGAAATTATTAATATTTCTTTTGAAATGATTTATTATGATAAAAAAATAATTAAAAACAAAATAAAATTGTTTTTAAATTATTACAGATTTTGATTTTTTATATGTTATAAATGATCAATGCAAAAGCTAATTTTTAACCTATTTTTTGGTTTTTTAAAGTTGATTTTTTGAAAGTTTATAATAAAAAAAGTTGAATTTGTTACCATAACTTTTAGCTCCACTTCAAGTTTGAAATTTACATTATTAAATAGAAAATTTTATGAAAAAATAATATTGTAATGATCAATATGCAGATAGAAAATTGTATAATTACTATTTACTGTAAATTTATCAGCAGAGCTCATTATTTTTTTTGCATTTTTATCGTAATAGATCACTTAAATAAAAATCATAGTAATCTTTTTTAAGTAACTTTTGTTGTTATATTGAAATTTGATTATAATCGTAATTATTTTTGTTAAATTCAAGTGTTACTAAAAATATTTTTTTTTTTTAAATTTATCATTTATGTAGCAACATGTTACCAAAAACAGTCATGTTTCAGGATGTCTATAACTTATCATTTATATGAAATTGTTAAATTTTTTGATACGTTGTACAACATAAAAAAAAACCTATCACAGTAGAGAATCCAGAATAGATTTAATCTGACAGTGATTAAAACTACTATTATAAAAAACACTTCGATGCAAATCTATAGATAGTGTTTCATTTAAAAAAAATGGTGGATTTTCCAAAAGCTAAATAATCTTCTATTTCTTTATTTATATCTTGATTAAAAATTTTATGATTTATAAGTGTAATATATGTATAAATATTTATTGTAGCAATTAAATATAGTATGAAATTGATATTTAATAATTTAGTAATGTAACTTTTACGGAGAAATTATAAAGTAGCTATTACTTTTATGGCAAATGTATATAAAAGTTGAAGGTCTTGAAGCAATACTTAAAAAAAAAATTGTTTATTATTTATAAATAAATTTACTGTTCAACAAGGAATTTTCACCTGAGATCAAAATATATTTTTCTAAAACCATTTTTGAGTCTAGTTAAAATCTGCAATTAAAGTTTCGCATATGTCTTAAATAATAACAAAATACTTCTAGTTAATATAACAAATATTTATGTACTTAATAAATTAACTTTGATATCCGTTTTACCATGAAAAGAAAATAAAGTACGACATTTTTTTTTTCATATTACAGTATATTACATAGACTTTAAATTAAGCTTTATATAAAAATATCAGTATTTCCAAAACACTTTCAAAAGTTAAATTGAAAAAGTTAATTTTTTGTGAAAAAGTTGTAATTTTGAATCCTCCCTGTGGGCAGGTAAAGGGTCACATTTATAAAAAAAATGTACAAAATTATAGGTAAATACCTCAAATATCTATAAAAAAAATGGATATAGTAACAATAATTTTGATTGTGATGGTTAATATAAAATAAATCATGAATTAATTACTTAAGTTAATACATTTGTTGATTTTTTTTTATAAGTATTGGTTGTCTTATGTAGATTACTATTTAGCTATTATTTAATTAATGTAAATTACAATATATATTCAATCTTAAACAAAATGTAAAATGAAAATTTAAAAATACCATACAAACATAACAACAATTTCTGCTAAGAATAATACCAAAAAGAATAACAATAATGTAGTCAAAACAATCCTTAAATGATGTATATCGACTAAACCGACTTAATAAACAATATATATTTTATTAATTAATCGATTTACAATATAGATAAATTATAAATAGTAAATAAGACAGTCAACTATTAGAGACAGGTCTATTAATAGCAACAATTTTAGTTTATTTGAGCGTTAAATTCAAATAACTGTTTTCAGAAGATAGAAAAAGTATTTCAAAAATTATTTTTTATTCGATGGACAGATATTTGAGAAAATGAATACTGAAGTCAATCGATCCCCAGGTATTAAAGCGACAAATTTAAATAAAGGATAAGTATATAAGCAAACTGGCAACATATCAGTTATAAGCGTTGAAAACGTTTTTAATGCTCTGTTCCTTTTAATTATACATACTTATCAATCAAATGTTGCCAATTTACTTAAGAATTTATTGCCATACCGCGGGCCACCAGAGAATGCAACCGAATGACTATTAAGATAGGAGCTTTTGTCTTATCATTCGGCTGCCGAGATGCATTCTCTCATTAAGTATACTCACTATACTATACATTTATGAGACTTAAAATTTGTATACTTTGTTATTTGAATTTGTAGTTCTAATTACCTGAGGATCGATTGACTTCAGTATATTCGTTGTCTTAAATATTTGACTATCGAATTGAAAATAATCAATGAATTTGTCACCAATTTGCTATATAGTTTTCAATTTATTTCTCTAGTATATAAATGATTGGGTATAATTATTCTATTAGAAGACATTTCTCGGCCACACTCTTCCACATGCCTTGGTACAAAAATCCAAATAAGTTCTAATGTACCGATGTTATAGTTGTTATCGATCAGTCACATTCTTAATTAGTTTATTTTCTATTTTATAGCCTAGTTAAGTATGCATGCTGTCATTTAAAAAAATTAAGTTGGTACCTTTATAAGAAATAAAATCAATTTAATTTGATTACATAAAAAAATTGTGTGATGGAGTGTTGAACTTCTATCCATTTTTTCTTTTCTTTCTTTATTTTATAATTTACAATCTATATAAACAGTTAACATAATAAAGAAATTTAATTACATACATTTTTAACAGTGAATCAGTAAAGAGGACGCGTTACAAAGAATAAAAATATTTTTAACATGTTTTGCATGGGACAACTATTTGATCTGTATTGATGCTAAGGTCCCAAATTTTTTACCAAATTATAAAGGAGAAAATTATCTGTGATTTAGCGTTTTAATTTTTTCATCCAAATCATTTCTAGTATTTTATATTAACTAATAAACATTCCTCTTTTTTGATTTTTTAAATGTTCAATAATAGCTTCAGAGTTGCGTTATTAAAATTATAAAAATACTAGATCACACATACTTTTTTCCTTTATAATTTGTTGAAAAATCGAAGTTTTTGGTGACAAAACAAATTGGTAAAAGTTGTCCCGCGCGAAACAGTTTTAATGCAAAAAAATGAATTTTTGTCTATTCACATGTGTCGGCGCGTAGTGGCATTCATAACGTTACAAATTTCCAGTTGAGCGGCGGTAACCGATTACACTCCATCCTACAACTGTTCTCTAATTGTTAAGCGCGTAATTAATAATCTCTACATATCTAAAATTTCATAGTATACAATTGCGAGTTTTATAAGAAATGTGTAACACGAATAATATGTTTTGGCATCATTAAACAGCGTTTTACAAATTTCAGATTGACTATAAATATATTTATGATACATAGAATACGCCTTACTATATGAATGTATTGAGTGCGTGTTCTCACTATAGAGAATATAAGCTTAAATTAAATTTTGTATGAACATTTCGACACTCAAATTTTTCTTTTCAACTATTCAATCTAAAATAAAATCTGCTATACATTCTTAGAGAAAAAATGCATTTACAATTACCCCAATCTTATACAATTATTTATTGTTTATTTTACGATTCCTATACCCGATTGTGTTTGATAATTGCTATAAACAAATGAATATTTATAAACATTCATTTATTATTTCTTGGTAATATATTTCACAAATTTTATACTGACCAAATATGAATTTATACATAGTGAACTCTTGTTTCTTAATAAATAAATAAATCTAAGTGAAGTTATATTCAATTTCTAAACAATAATTGTTTTGAAATAATTTTATTTAACGTCCT